TCCCACGTCGACATACCCACCGCTGCCCATTGCTGTTACCTTTGTCCGATTGGTTTTCCTTCCCAGAAGGACACGTCCATCACTTGGTATTTCGGGGCAACACGCTTGAAGATTGGGAGGAATTTTGCCAGATGTTTTGACGGGATGTTGGTGTATATTGCCCAAGACCACAAAGCATCTTTCAGACTCCCCTCTTGCTCCATCGCTGGGTTACTTGTTGACTGTTCAGTTAATGTTTCGGATGCCGATCTGCTCCAACTACTAATTCCCTCCCACGATGATGTGCTACAGTCTGAATCTTTAGATAAATAACTGCAAGAAGGGTCAGCACAGTTTGACAATCTCGTAATTTCCCATGTTTCCTGCTCCGTTTAACATAAATCTTTAAGTCATCGTAATGTTCTCCTTGATGAGGCTTTCGCATGCTGAAGAAAACAGCAAAAAACAACGGTTTAACCGGATTTACAGTCACAGTAACGAGAGCTCTCTAGTGCGTCTTAACAGCAGATTGCGCCACGTCACAATGGCGCCCGCCGCGCGTGAGAGCATACAAAAATCGATAAGCCAATCATCTATCGATTGCGTAATTATCCCAACAAATGACAATCAAGCACGCGCGTAGCTCGCGTTTGCGTAGTACAACAACGCACGCATCGCTATTAGGGATTAACGTCGTAGCGAGGGGGTGTTCTATCAGAGTTGGAAGCGATGTGGCAAAAGCAACGGCTGCCATGTCTAGAGGAGGGAATATGTCCATTCGTACATATTCGGGGTGTTGGGATCCGATCGGGGGGTCGTTATGGAGTAACTTCGATCAAATGGGTGGCGGACATGGCGACCGGACCGCTTCCAGGTAACCCATGAACCAGGGAACTATGTTAGCATACAATCGCATTCCAGCCCGTCCTTGGCAAGCACGATAAACACATAATGCATCATATGATGGGTGCGTTCCACGAAACTATCTTGCCGTTCGGGTGATAACTGGTTGTGTGTATGTGTTTTCGAGTGTCCATAATTTTGTTAAACTACCGCATTAGTTGGTAATCGAGCTTATTACCACAGTCTGAATGAATTGACATGGGACATCAAAAATGCTATCCCCTATGTGGCTGATGGCATTCACGGAGGACGACGCGTCTTGGCGGAGAAGAGGAGCAATGTCAGCCGACTTCGTAAAATAGCTAACCCTCAAATTGAGGTTTGACTTTGTCGACCTCTGTGGATATTACTCATTTTCAGATGTTAGTTTACTTGACGTTCTGGCTGACTTTTTTTTGAGTCCTTGGATCGCTTTCGGCAACATCTTCAGTCTCTCAAGTCTATAGCAGAACAACAGTCGAAACGACCGATATGCTCTAGACCGCCCCCTACCAACAGTTCCCATGGAATTCTAATCTCCGAACGGCTGAATCCTTGCGATATTGTATTGATACATTTGATCAGACATTGATTTCGTCAGATGAATTTAATATCTATCGTTATTTTGACCCAGCACGTAAGTCGACAATATATCCGTAGAGTACCAAGCAAAATGTGTTTCAGACGCGAAATTTGAATCCGGGCACTAAATCCCAATGGATTGCTACGGCCCCATTAAGCTATATTTGGGCACCACGAAGACAGTGTTAAATTATACTAGCAGCAATTGTCGCATTTCCTATGACTGTATTTGTCGTTATGGGGCTACAGAATCGCCTCCCGCTAAACAGGCCAAAAGCTTAGTACGTTCACTGGGCATCAGTTACGAAGATTAAGCCTGTATGACATTAATTAAACCCTTCTGAAAATGTTTAGACATGCAGAAGTATATGGATGGCCTAAAATTCGAGATCAAGAAGTGGAAGAAAATTCCACCCGGAAAAATGTAACCCAAAATGGCAGATGTTTAATACGTCAAGAAAACGTATGCAACAACAGCTTCCACAGCCATGAATAGCAAGGAGGAAAATGGCAGCGCGTCTACAAGATAAGGTAAATCCTTTAAAATAGACGACAAAGCAGAGGGTTTAGACACTGAAGAAGGATAAATTTCTTTAATTTTATTGATTGCTCGTTTACAGGCTAGGTCAAAGGAGATATATATTAGAGAATCAACCTGGCAGTGAAAAAAACCCAATAATTCTCTCTAGTGTTTGTTAAGAAAATAAAGTGCGGCTCGTTGAAGTTCGGGATGGAGGAGTGTTGAAACACGATCAGAGTATTCTCTGTTTCCCTCGAAAATTTTGGATCCCGTATTCTGCATCAGGAGACTATGTATCGGCGGACAGTGGCTTGCTGTCGGCTGAAGTGTAAGCCGATTGCACGCTGCAGATTCAGCACCAGTGCCCTCAACATGAAGCCTGATACAGGATTCAGATTCCGCGGACGCCATCAGAGAGGAAAAGATATTCCACAAATTCAGCACCCAAAATTCCTGAAAGTTGTCCTCAATATAGAAAACTAGTGATAGCTCTCGTAAACAACGGATATATTTGCTGAGATTTAATAATTCTTGGCAGTGGTAAAGAAGACAAATGATCGAGCACTGGAGCTCGAAAGCTCAGGAAAAAATACGTTTCGTTCCAGTGCTCGATCATTTGTCTTCTTTACGGATAGACATGCCTGGAATGCGAATATTTCCTCTCATTCGTGAATTCTTGGTAGCTTTTTCCAGATTACTATGGCGTTAACTGAAAAAAATAGACGTTCAGGATGAGGCCACCTAATCGTAGATCGGGCTGATGATTGTCGGCAACAATAAAAACGGAGCATTTGTGCCGAGAAAGGGAAAGGCGCCATGCGCAGTAACACTGCGCAGACGCCTGAAGATCCTTCTTTGTGAGCTCGAACACGATGCTGCCATCTGCCGGATTAGATCGAAAGGCAACGTTAAGCGTTACGTAAAGGGCCGACCATACCGAAAACATTCAGGAACCTCGTGGACAGAGGCAGAATAAGAGGGGGCCAAGTACGCTACCCTGGATAAGTCCACTCCTCACATATTTTAAATCGGAGATAACATTGAAAATGTTAACTGCTTGTGTGTGATCATCCAAATAGTAGGACACTAAATTCAGAAGCTTGTTACCTATACAGAAAGAGGCAAGGTTTAGGAGGAGAAGGAGGAGGTCATGATCAATACGACTAAAGGACCAAGTGAAATCAAAGTAAACTGTATAAAGAGCATATTACGATACGCATCTGGTACTCTTAAATAAAACCAACGGTAAATTAGCCAACCCTGGTTCCCAAAACCTGTACGAGGGAAGAGCGAAGATCAGTCGGCCAGAGAGAGAGAGCGTGTACTCAGACACAGCACTTTACAGCAAGTCTCTCTTATCAAAGACTGAAGAATATTTATTTAGTCCGCTTCATGAGTAGGCCTCGGCGAGACTAGTACTGCCACCAAGGGAGAAGAAAACTTCATAATACAGGGATTATCTGAATCAATGGCCATCATTCACATGGATCGGCATTGCGCAGACGTTCAGCTGTTCGCTGCACTCATGAAAAAATGCTGGGACCCAAAGTATCAGTCGAGTGCGATAAAGCTTTCTGCCTTGGAAAAAGACCAGAGAGCGCAACTGGATCAACACGTTCCAGACCTCTAAAAGGTATCATGACCAAAAGCCAAGAAGTCAAGCTCATTCTGTGTGGGCGTTTGAGGATAAAGGACTCTGACCCTCGAGTTTTTTTTTCAACAGGAATTCTCAGCTGCGGAACAGAACAAACGTCGTCAACTTGTGACCGAACTGAGCGGCGGCTCAGTGAGGGGAACGAAACTGGGTTATTTACAACAACTAAGTGACATAACGTCCACT